CTCTGAAGCCCCTACAGAGTCTTTGTTCCCTAAACTTAGAGGAAAACGACTTCAGTCCTGTGAGGATGCCCACACCGATATTTCTAAGTGGTGCTCGTCCAACACTGCAGCATTCATTGGGGAAGGGTGGAGGTGTAAACATCACCTTCAGAAGTATGGTGACCTAGACAGAGGATGTCAACAAACAGCAGCTTCACATTTTGATGGTTTTTATTAATAAAGGTTTCTACTTTTGTAGCAATACTTTTAAACTTTACCTTTCTATGCATAAAAAATATACACTAAAGAACCCTCTAACAATACGGTAATAGCAATGCTTTATAAAGTAGCTTTCCTTTGTTATTGCAAATCATTGAATGCACCTCAAAGTGTATATATATAATAGACTTTACAGGAGTTTATGTTGGTAAACTCAGGGCTTTACTTCCTTTCAGTATCTTCAGATTCTTTTTGGAAGCAAGCAAGATATAAATAATAAATAGAATTCAAGATCATACCCTCCGTTTCCGTGCATTCATCTTCGGCTTCGGTTCTCTGACAAAGGTTTTATAGGATGGGACCTCCCCAGCGTCAATGGCTTGCTGGATGATGTTCCTTATTCGAGGCTCGTCCGTGTACTGCACACACAGCACAGACTCCATGATCCGGTCCATGTCGCCCTTGAAGTCCAGGTAGGCCTGCTTAATGTCATCCAGCTCTTCGGCCGAACCTTTGTACGTCTTTTCAAAGGCTTGGATGTCCTCTAGAGAGATCTGGCCATGTAAAGGAGAAAAGCGTTAATTCCGTGAAGTTAATTGGGAATGAAAAGCATACTAGTACAACTAGATGTTGTGTTTCTCCCCGACGTGGCTGGAGTGGAAATCATCTCTGGGAGCCAAGCTTTCTGCTTCTGAGCTTTCCCAGAGTTTGTCCGTCAGCAACAGGTAAATCTGCTCAACCAGCGGCCATGCAAGCGACGTTTCCAAAGTTGGGGAAAGGGCAAAAACCGTTCGGGGCTTGCATGTGAATAGCTAAGCTACAAGGCACAGCCTAACGAACTAAAATCTTACCTTTCCGCGGCAGCACCGACAGGAAATTAAAAACCCTGTCTACGCCCATGGCTACCCTTTTGAGCGGCTCCCTTCCTCCCTGCCGACCGGGACGTCCGTTCGGGGCAAGACGCGGCGGGCCCGCGGAGCGCCGCGCGGGGCCCACCTTTTTGAAGAGCAGCCTCCAGTACGCCTCCCAGTCCCGCTCTTGCCGGAGCGCCGCCGCGTCCTCGTCCACGGTTCCCTGCTCGTCGTACACGGCTCTCTGTTCTCGGTCGCTTAACACCGCGTACACTTTGCCGAGGATCTGCGAGCAAAGAGCGCCCGCCGTCACCCCTCCGCTCCCCGGGAGACCGCAGCCACCACGGGCGGACGCGAGGCCGCCCGGCCGGCAGCCGCGCGCTGCGGGCGGCCTCGGCCCGGCGTCGGGGCTCGCGCACCTGGAAGCGGCGGG